GCCGACACAAGGTGTACATGAACACTGGGTATAGACCTGTGTCCAGAATAGGACTGCACCTACATTACTTTACAGACCTTAAGGAGCTTGTGTCAGACTCTAAAAACTATTTGACTTGTGTTATTAGTAAGGACTTTCAGTCCAAACCTTAATAGATAGCACATTTCTGGCTCTCAGACTGTCTACACAAGATTTTTTTTCTGAAAGGTTTCCCACCTTTGTTATCATTACTATGAATTGGACTCCTAGGAGTTTCCCACATTGTGATCCCTGTTTTATCTAATACTAATAAGGAAAGATTTGACAAACATGGGTGTAAAAGTGGTGGTGGAAAAACCAAAGCTTGTTCTTTATTAGTCGTCTTATTATATCTATTCCCCAGTGTTAGCATAGCAGGAAAAAAGCTAGCTCTGTCTCAGCCAGAGATCAACAAACAGAACTAAAGTAACTGAAGTTTTACCATTTAAGGTTGATATCCATTCCCTAAAGCCATTTGTTCCTGTTTAGGAGCCCACATCAGTGTGGTCAAAGATCCTTTCCCCTTTATATCAGGTCACCATATAGGAGTCTGCAATTCCTCAGATTCAAAGGCAGTGAGGGCAACTTCACTGTCTGATTAGCCACTGTACATTATCCCATGTCAATACATGTCAAGTATCTGATGGAGTAGTCTGCTGTATACAAAAGCTCAGGCCTCTAAACCAGTTAGTCTCTAAAAGGACCACCCTGCCCCACCTTCTGCATGTCAAGACCTGTAATCCTTTTGACCAATGACTTAGAAATTACCTTCAATTGTTATTTAAGAGTGATATTTGACAATAAAAATCTATAATAGATCTTTTAGCTTTATGTGCTGCAGAGATCATAGCCACTTTCATAGAGCCTGGTAGATGCTTCTTATCAAAACTTTTCCTGATTATTCCAACAGCAAATATGCCTATGTGTTGCATTGGGAAACACGAATGACTACTGCTCATTGACTAAACAACATTGCTCTAACGGGTTCATGGGTTCTTGATTCCATAGCTAATTCAGAAGTGTATTAATATATATTGGAGTAACTGTGACAAACATTTTGACTAATTCCATGGTCTGTGAAAGAGCTGTATCCCTCTGAATCAACAGCTTGGAATATTATAGTGTGACCAAAAGCCCACTGAAGTTATTGGAATGATTCACAACCACCTCCCTGGGCACTGGATCCAGGTTATTAATAACTAAAGACAGTTCCTCCAGATTATTAATAATTAATGCTTCACTAGTGTTGAAAGGCCTTAAATCAGGGCTGGTGACCCATTGTGCAACTTTAGGGCATATATGAACACAGAGGACCCAGCTCCTTATGTCAGAGACCTTATAGTATAATAAGGCATGCTCACATGAACCTGGTTAACAGGGATGTTGCTATGTATGAGTCATATTACTTGGAAACTTGTTTTACACCTAGGTATATAAACTCTTTGTCTTAGATATAGGATATCTATTTGACTTCCTAGAACTGACATAAAATTCAATATTCTTGCAGTCATTTGGATGGCTTTCTTTGCTTCCGTTTCCTAGAAATTGGAATAAAACAGACCTCTAGGTCTTTTTGCTTCCTGTTAAATGTCTGCCCCATTTCATCGCTCTTCAGCCTTCTCTCTTTTTTTGAGCAGCCAGTTAAACTGTTTCTAATGAAAGCCATCAGAGTCTCACAACAAAGCACCCGTCTCATTCCTTTGATGCAAACGTTTTTTTTTGAAAGCAGACACAATTTTTTCAACATTGGAACTGAGTTACAAAGGATGCTTCATGCAGGATAGTGGAATGTAGCTTGGAATAGCCACTGACTGGCACAAATTAACAAGCAGTGACCTGACATGAGCCAAGGTAATTTTTCTGCTGGTTAGATAAAGCTACCTCTGAGGTATCAACAGTTCTATTTTCTCTACAACTGAAATATAATCATGTGCATTTTAGCTAGAGTATCTCTCTCTTCCTACGTACCAGTTTTATTTGAGCTTTCCTTCTCAGACCATGCCATTCAGAGATGTATCCTGCTTTCCCAGTCAGTCTAACAGCCTTACAGCAGTTAGAATCACCATCAAAGAACTAACTGCACTTCTGTGGCTGAGCTATATCTAAAAAATATATTTTCTGGGTAGGAAACAACTTCAAGATGTAATTTTTCATTAAAAAAATATCAACTTGCTTTTTCATTCTTTCACTTTAAAATCAGAAACAGAATTGCTGTTGAAGGGCAATCTTTTCCCATAGTAATACTGGTCTTTTTGTTTTGTTATAAATTAGGTTCGTGCATAGATGTCTTAATACATGACCCAAACAACAGTATCTGACCCTCTTTGTACCAGGTATCTCTGATGCTGACCCCATGTGAGCAGTAACTATAGTTGGCAGCCCTAGTAACCATACTACAAGCTGAAGAAACCAGTTACAGATGCTTCTAGCATCAGATCCATCTAATTTCATGTGGGTTCCTTCAAGAATGACGTTTCAGAGGTTGTGTGAAAACAACCTTTTCTCCCAGTCCAGCTGAGATTAAAAAAACCCCCAGAAAAATGGATAGAGGTAAAGCACCAGTCAGTTAGGAGGATGGATACTTCAGTATCACATACAATTCCATTCAGCGGTAATAATATGGAGGGATAAAGACAATTATCAATTCTAAAAATAGCTATGCAGTTCTAGGCTGAAAGATTTAGCTCTGACCAATTTAAACATGAACCTCTAGGTTCCATGAGCCTTTGCCCAAATCAGAACTACCTCTAGAGCAAATGTTTTTCTGCTTTGGTCTTGGACTTTGTAGACAAGGGACTGAATAAGAGAAAGTCCCAAAACAGTAACTTGAGCCAGAAGCTAGGAATACCAGTGAAGACAAAGAAATTGAAGGGTCCGGGGAAGGGGCGAAAACAGAATTGGATCAAGCACGTTAAAATGCAAGTCAGTATATGTGGGGGAAAATAAATTCAGTGAGGGGGAGTCATCTGGAAAACAGGAAATGACTAGGAAGAAAGATTAAATAGTTAAATAGAGCGACATCCTGATCTCAGCCAAGTCCCCAGGTGGGGTAGGAGAGGCTGGGGCCATTACTGGACTGGCCCCAGCAGCCTTACATGGGGTCCGGAGGGCCCACTGGGGCTGCAGAGGCAATCCTGGCACTCGGAGCCTGGCTGGCGGCTGGAGTGTGGCTCTGGCCAGCCAGGCTCTGTTTTTGGAGGGCACATGCTACCCCTGTGTGCACCACCCACTTTTTTTTTGTGCAGGTGTTTTTTTACCTTGAGACTGCCCAGGGTCACCCTCTCTCCCCTGAATGTGTGGTATGTGTCTACAGCTGAATGTGTCATATGCCTACAGTGCCACATACCTCATAGCTGTGCTTGTCTGGGCGTGGCGCAAGAGTCTAGACATGCATGCCACTTCAGACCAGTTTAAATTTCCTGAAACATTTCAACAGCAAACCTGGAAAATCAAGTACTATTCTGAGCTGGTCCCTCTTGAACTGATTTAATATTATGTGCAGACACAGAGCATTCTGTGCCTAGTCAGTCCTCCAGGCATCCCAAACTGCACTATTTCTCACCCCTAACTGATTTAGGTTAAATTGGTTTATTGGATTGTCCCAGATCCCCTCCAGATTCAAGCTGTCTGCTCCAGCCCAGCAGGGAGGCTGTCTGTTCACTTCCTTCTCAGTTCAATCTACACAGTTTAAATTAATCTGCAAAGACTGAATCGATTTAGTGTTGGGCTTCTGTCTGTACTTAGCCTGTTAATTATTCCTTGCCCTCTGTCAGCCCTGCCTGGCAATGCCAGGTACCTGAGTGGCTGGAAAAGCCTGAGTGCCCTTAGGGGTGCGGCGGAGCACCGATGACCTGGGAGCCACGAGCTGGGCTCTAACACACCCCACCAGGCAACCCTGCCACCCCCCACTGCCCTAACCCAGGTCTCCCCCAAACCCCAGAGGACTCCGGGGAAGCTCCAGGAAAACAGCCCTGGAAAGAAGGATGCGCTGTGCATGCCCCAGCCCTGGGGGCATTTGGCAGCAACGCAACCCTTACAAGTGGCCTATTCTTCAAACCCTCAATGCAGTGGTGATGTGTAGGGGGTGCACATGCACCCTGACCAGCTGTGCTCTCCACTTAGGCGATGGGCAGGGGGGAACGCTGACTGGGGAGGGGAGCGCGCCAGATGTAGCCCTGTGGCCGCTTCCTGGTCAGTGAGTTTTGCTGCGGGGTTCTGCGAGATTAGCCACAGGGGGACCGCCTGGTCACTGGCGAGGGCACGCATCCTCCCTCACTACAGTGGTACCAGTCGCTCATGCCTCAGTGGAGGTGTGAGCACCTCTGCCCAGGGGCAGGCTATGAGTCCAGGGATCCTGGTTTTCTCCGCTTAAAAAAAAATTCCCAAGTTTCAGTTAAAAACAAGTAACCCTGATCCACATTTCCCCAGGATTAAAATGCAACACCGCTATATCCACATCTACCTGTTAGTGGCGCTTTATTTAAATCGCAGAAAAACGTGGATATGGGGTTATTTGTTTTTACCCGGAAATTGGGTTTTGTTTGTTTTTAAATCCGATTAGAGCGGGATCCCTGGACACACCTGGAACAGCTGGGCTTCACCTCGGCCGCCCCGCCTCGAGGGAGGATTTATAAAACTTGCCTCCCGGGTTTTTTTTTGAACCCACGAGAATATTTTATCACCGGGCTCAGGCCGTCCCGCTCGATTCCGTCACACTACCGCCGGGCTGACTCACACTGCGGCCGCCCGGTAAACAGGGGCCATGACATAACGGCGCCCGCGAGCACCACGTGCCCCTTCTCGTGTCCGCCAATGGGAGGCGGGCTGCTACCGCAGCCAACCGCTGTAGGGGGCGTCCTGCCCCCAGGGGAGGGGGGTGTTTCCTCCTCTCCCCCCCAGCCCGCTCGCGCTGACGCGGTGTTCACTACCCGCCGGGCGCTAGGACCTAGCGTTCCCGCAAGCGGCTTCGTCACCGCGCGCAGAGGGTGGAATCTTGCGGCGCCCAATCAGGAGGGGCCGACCCCTGACATCATCGTCCAGGCCAAAGGAGCTGTTCCCCCAACAACAACAACAGCTGCCGCGATGTCGCAGGACGAGAACCTGCAGGGTGAGCGCGGGGCCGCCCACCTCCGCAAGCGGCGGGGCAGGGAGGGACGGGCCGGGGGCAGCTGGACGCCCCTCACCGCCCTGCTCCGTAATGTGCTGCGTGAGCGAGGGGCAGCGGCGGCAAGGGAGGCTGGGCTGGACAAGAGGAAACGCTCTCCCTGGGGGGGAGGAAAGCGCTGGGCCGGGCTGCGCCATCTCATCCCTGGGGGCAGGCTCTGCCAGCCTGCGAGGGAGAAGCCACGCTTTTCTCCTCGAAAGGAGAGCCCGTTTTTAAGGTGTGTTGATCCATTTTTAAAATGTGTTCGTGACCCTTTCGGGTAGTTTTTGCAACCCACAGGTTGAGAAATGCTGGCTTAGACGAGGTCTTTTCCAGCCCTCATTTTCTGTGGTTTCTAGGCAGTTATGCAGGGCTGTCTGCACAGGAAGCAATCATCTTTCACCTGCCTGAGAGCTGGGGGTTTGGCAGTTTCTTAAACTTGATGGTGGGCAGTAGCCATCCTCTGTCACGCATGTGCAGATCGAATCCAGGCCTCGCAGGGGATTTGTGAACACCTTTGTGGGGGAGTCCTTAACGCCCCTACCCCCCCTCTTTTGCTGTTTTGGGTCTGCTCCCAGATACTCTGATCCCAGAAGCAGTTTGGTCTGAATCGCAATGTTCAGCATGTGAGAGAAGTGGCTTGTGAGGGACAGTTTCAAGGGAGTTGAGATGCACTGGCCAGTGATCGTACCTAGTGTCAATATGGACCATGACTCGGTTTCCCTGCTCCCCACTGAGCCGGCCAAGAGATCCTTTTCTCAGAGGAATGGGTGCACATAGCGAAAGCCACACCTGAGCTGTATAAAAACCCTCCGCACAGGCAGAAACATGGGTATCTGGAACTTGCCTCAAATGGCAAATAGGTTGAGAACCAGTGGTCTGGAGGAACTTCCTTTGGCTTCTCCAGATAAAGTAAAAGCCCTCAGACACATCCTAGGACCTAGGTTAACATTTTTAAAGCAGAGCTTGATCATGTCTTCTTGGGTAGAAGATGGAGCTCTTGGACTTAGTTGTAGCTGGGGGTGCTTGGCACTTTCATCTAGGGGCTGCTAAAATGGATCTCCTAGCTGATATAAATGAGAGGAAACAGAGAAATACTTTTGATTTCCACTTGTTTTGGGTGCCCCTAACAGTTACTGTTGTACTTCCTAGCGATTACTGGTATACAAAAATACTTTTACAGTTTAGAATCAATCACAAGAACACTTAATTATCACTGCTTGTTTTTCATTTGAATAAGTATTCTGACATTGCTATGAGTCTGAGAAATTGAGTAGTCATTTGCAGTTAGAGGTAAAATGTGAAGTAATTACTATTGAGAGAAACCAGATGACCTGTTTGGGTATTAGCTTAGCATTAAGACAGTGTTCTTGTTTGGAATGCTTAAAAAAATAATTGAAGATAATTAGTTTTACAAAAAGACTGTCACATTGTTTACAGTAGTAAATACTGTCAACAGATGCTGTCAGCTTTATATATAAATGATCTAATAATCACATCGTTGAGTATGAGGATTAATTAACCTATAGCTCAATTTTTGGCACAATTTGGACATTCTGACAGTTGATCAAAAATGTTTATGACTTCTTAGCACTCCAACAAAAAAGTAATGTTTTGACATGTAATTATGGCACTTTCACTAGTATGACCAGAGTATGCACATATTGTTTGTACTGTTTGATGGTTGCTTATGGGGAATCAGCTGGCTCACTGTCAAATGACTTTGTCCTGTCCAGATACAGAAATCATTAGAATAGATTTTTTCTGTTCTTAATAGTTAAATAGTTCAGCAGAAGCTTTCATATCTGCACATAAATAGAGGAGCAGAATGTGAACTGGGGCTGAAGGAGGCATTGGAGCAAGGTAGGGCAGAATGGGAGCCAAATGATATGCTCAAATGTGCTGAAAGTACACAAGCTAAGGCCGGTCAGGGTAGCGCTACTTTAACCTACACATTTATGATAACTCCTGAAAACTTAAGGATTTCTTGACTACCTACAATTGCAGAGGAAAGAACAAAGGTCAAAGGTAGGAGAGCCAATCAGAAAGATGGAAAGAATCAATAACTGAGACCAAAAGTGACCCTCCCCTACTCCCGCCATTGGCAATATTAGCACCCCAGATTATTTACATGATAAGAATTTTGTGGATTTCCAAATTTTAGAGGAAAGTTGCTAAAACCATCTCTTGGTCATCTACAATGCAACTGTTTGGGTTGGCTTCTTGCTGTTATCTATTGAACTTTTAATTTATTCAAAATACAGCTATCAAATTCTCACCCAAGTTGCTGGGTTAAATTTTCCTGTTTTGAATTCTACAAAAGCTGCTCTTTTATTCCTCCTGGTCTCATTTCTTCCTGAACAATGTCGCACTCTGTCTGGACCTCTCTCAACTGTTCCTTATTTCCTTTTCCTAGCCCTAATTTAAATGAGTGAAGAATGGTTCTTTCCTCACTTATCTCTTACAGCATGGTTGCTGTCTTCCCCCTTGTGTTTACCTATTGTGTAGGTATATACCTTTTAATTAGCTAGCTAATTCAGAGAAGGAGAACCATGTTATATCTATCTTTACTATTATCAATTTGTTTGTATCAACATATATAAATAAAAATGAGTTCCATTGACATGTATATGATACAATATAGCTGTAATTCATTAAAGCAATTTTACAAATGTGGAATCAAACCCAAGTCTGTCTACAGAGTGGTTGGATGGTAATTTTTATTGAAAACACTCTGAGAAGACAAAGCAACATATCATGTGACTGTTAGCAGTTCTTAAATATTTTTATGTAGCAATAGATGATGAAAGTTGCCAGACACCCTGTATTGCCTTACAGTGACATTTTCATAAAAATATCAGTTTTCATTAAAGTTAAATGTAAGCACTTCACTAATAGGGTCGCAATCCTAAAATACCACAGATAAATTGAGTTAGTGTTACATGACCATGTTTTCTGACTTTTGTCTGCATTGAGTCATGAAGTTACGTACAGTGGAATATCCCACAGAATGCAAATAAAAACTTCTGCACCTGACTATGGAAAAAGACACTGTATTTGGCAAGCTTTTCCCATGAATCAGATATGCATGACGTGTCAGCCTACTAACAATATCACCTAAGCAAGTCACTAGACATTCTTCAAGTTTATTAGCTGGAACATTAATGGCACTGTGCCCATACTTCACTGTACATTTGATCATCACATGAAAATGTTACCCTGAGGAAAGTGAACAGTTTAGTACTTTATGTTCCCTTTGTACAGAGCCACTTGCCCACAAATGTGCATTAACTATTAAAAATCATAACATGCAGAAAATAGCAAGGCCTGATCAAAACTGCATTCAAATCAATTGGAAGATTGATTTTGAATTCAGTAGGTTTTGGCTCAGTATTTTTGCAGATGAGTGACAAAAATAGGAAACCATATAAATGATATCAGCATATTTTCCGCTGGAAAATATGTTTAGATATGTTAAAAAAATACCTTACTCAAAGGGTTAAAATTGTATCCTGCTGGAAGGCCTGTTAGGATAGAGTTTTATTATTAACTTGTAATAACCTGCAGATTGAGTCTAGTCACACCTGAGAAGGCAGGAGCAAGGCTGTTACACTTGTAATTGTCATGTGAGAATCTGGCTGTTTAGCCTTCAGTATTTATCTGTGGCTTATTACAGTTTTGTTTTTAATTGTGCCAAGCAGGATCCTGGGTGGAACTGCACTTCAGCAGCAATGGCAATGGCAATGGCAATGGTAACACTATCCAACCAACCACTCAAGAGCAAATACCAGCCTCTCTTTCTATTTACAATGGTGACATGGAGAAAATTCTCCTAGATGCCCAGCATGAATCTGGAAGGAGCAGTTCAAGAGAGAGCTCACGTTGTGACAGGTAAGTAAATACATTATAAGGGATTACTGTAAGGTACTTTTCCAAGTGTATTTGTATGTTAGAGACAGACCTGTATGTAAACACAGATATATAAAAAGTCCACAGTGAACAGATTTTTTTTTTAATGGGTACAAACTGGAACAGTATATGGCAGGAATTAGCAGTCTACTACCTGTGGGCCAGATCCAGGCGCAGAGCCATTGGATCTGGTCTGCAGGCCTGGCAGACTGTCCATGCCATGGTCAGGGAGCAGGGAGAAGTGGCAGCGGTAGCAGTGAATGGGTCCTAGCTCATGCTTACTACAGACCTAAACCAGATTAGTCCAGGCTGCCACTGCAAAAGGTTACTGACTGGTGCTGTATGGGATAGTAGTCCATCCAGAAACTATGAAGAAATGATAAAGGGAAGGACCATGGAAGATTTCCTACACCTTGCAAAGGTGGCTTCTCAGGCTGGGGCTCACTGACTTTGCAGGGGAAGGTCATCAGTTGCACTTTGCACTGATGCATTATTTAATGGCAAAATTCCTGTTTAGTAAAAAGGAATGTGATGCTTTCACAGCCTGGAGAAGTGTGTGACGGCTGCCATCCTAAATAGTCAGGCAATGGCAGTGCCATTCTGGCAGAGTAGCGGTCACACCTACAGTATGCTCTTGCTGCCCATGCTGTGACAGCTTGTAAGAAGAATCTGCAGCTGTCCCACAGACGTTGCTTTTTAACTTTTAGTTCACCCTATAGATGCTACCAGCACAGATAATTTAATGAGACCATTTTCTCTTTGTGCTTCTCTTTATAAAGCCCTCCTCGGTCCCAGACACCTCATGACATTAACAAAGCTTCTGAGATGGAGAGTCACAGCAGTGGAGAAAAGAGTAGCTCTCAGGTAAAAGCTTGCTTATTCAGTGATTGTCACAGTTGGAAGACTAGTATTGGAAAATACAAGACTGAGCCTGGAAAAACTAAAACAGCTGTGTAACTTTATACTAGGCAGTAATCCCTTTGAGTCTGCAAGATCGTGCTCCTTGTATGGACAGTTCTACATCACTGATTTGCATAGGCATTTTGTAGACATACGAGAAGGGATTTTCAAAGAGGCCTAAGGGACTGAAGTTCTCAAACCTATTAAAGATTTTGTGATGCAAACGTGGAAGACAATATACGTAGGCCTGCTGCTAGTCACTAATGTCATGTAGAAGTCTTCCAAGTGCAGAAGTTTTGTCCTGTTCTTGTGATTGTCAGCCCTATGTATTTCACAGATTCAGATAATTAGGGGTAGTTTTGTTTTTAAATAACAGCTCACAATGAGTGAATTTCAAATTTTAAAAACTATAGCATTCCTCAAAGTCTTTGCTTCTGTCTAGCAGACATTCTAGCCTCAGAGGTACATTTTAGAAGCAGCAAAGTGGTATTTAGCTATGTGATTCCTATTCACTGGAAATGAGAATTTAAGTTCTTGCATATTGCTTTGATAATTTACCCCTTATTCTTTGAACCATTTTTGCATATTACTGTTATATTTGTGAAGAGTGCTAGGAACTAGAAAATTAAGATGAAAAAGGATTTATATAATACAGATTTATGTTTTGAGTCTACTTCTTCATATTTAAGTCTTTTTATTGTCATATTGCTGTAAGGAGGCTGGAAGCATAGGTCTCTACAGCTTCTTTGGTTTCTTTACTATTTATTTTGTGGGAAAAAAATCTCTGTGAAGTAGTTCTTAAATAAAAGTGTGAGTGCTTCAGTGGAGACGGGTATGTCTGGACCTGCAGTATTTCTGTCCTGTTGTCAAGTGGCAATGGATGAAGAGTCTTGGGAGATCAGTTCTCTACAACAGAAATCAGTGATGCAGAGTCAAGACATACTTGTTATACAATACTCTCTGAAAAGTTGGCTGAAGTGACTTAACTTACATTACACAGGAACCCTTGAGAAGTGGCAGCAGATAGAGTTCCTTAGGGTAGCATTCAGTTATTTTAACCATGTTATCTTAATCCTTTCTTTTCCTGTATTCCCATCTCATTCCTTTCACACCTTGTATCTTCAGCAACAGATAAAGCAGAGATCATAAAGACACCTTTCCTTTCCTTCTGTATCTCTAGATACATCCATCCTGTGCAGTAGCAAGAGGCAGCAGACGTTTGAAAAACTAGGCCCTGATCATGTAATAATGCTGTATCATGCAGAAGCAAACACAACCTTCATTCTGGCATATCCTAACTTTTGCATGTCTGACTTCGTAAACATTATGTTCTTTTAACAGTTTATGGATATGTAATTTCCTAAAAAAGCAAACTGAAAGAAAAAGTTCCATATGCTATATCATATCAACACCCACATGGGCAAGCAGCCCTGCTGAAACTTTTGGATTCACCATGCAAGCCATGGGTAGATGAGCTAATCTAGTAACCAACAGCAGTAGTAGGATGCCATTCTGTGTACGGACCCAGCATTAAGGGACTTGAAGTATTTTGCCTAGCGTTTCACTGATAGTTGCTGACAGAAGAGGAATGATGACATCAGAAATCCTGGGTTCCATTTCAAGATCTGGAGGGTGCTGTGGTCTCATACTTAGAGGCTTGTTCTCTGCAGGTTCAAGTTCTTCTTTTCTCCTCTATCCAAGGCTCCACTACTTAGATTCCTCATCCTGGCTCTGTCTTTTTTTCCCCCAGATAGTCTCAGTTTCTACCTTCCTCTTGTTGGTCCCTGTATTTTCCCCCACCTGGCTTTCAGGTGTGCACTGAAGTTCTTTCATTCCAGTGGCCCTCGGTTTCCCTTCCTGGCCTCCATCTAGTCTACTTCTGCCTTGTATCGTCACCTCTGCATCCCATAAGGCAGCTTCCACTATTGTCTCAACCTCGTAGGAGACATTTAGGGAGCAGAAGACACAAGATCCCTGCTTTCAGTACTAATGCTCTCCCAAGACCTACCATAGCACTTAGCAGCATTTGTAGGGAAATCCAACTCATCCCTCCCTGCCTGTAACATGTTCAGCATGGATGGAATCTGAGGAGACTTTAGCTGCTGAACTTTCTATTAAGTTTCTATATGAGCATGTGTGAACTGAGTTTTATTCATAAACTTTTATCTTGGCCAGATACCAGTTGGCAAAAGGCACATCCCTGATGAAAAGACCTCACTTCTGTTCAGTTTCAAGATTACTTCGGAGCAGGGTAGTGCCAGAGTTTTTTCTTTCAAGTCACCAGAACTTTTTTAACACAGGGAAGAATGATGCATTTTTCCTTGACTTTGTTCTCAGAAGTAGCTGAATCACTTAGACTGAAGTTTTCTAAAGAGGATCCAGCCTGAGGCAGATACTTGATATAAAAGGAAGTGATAGACTGTAAGGTTTTTGGAACACATGAACACTGCATGCACATTAGGGAATTAGCATGGGGGAAAGCAATGGTAGGGCTGAATTATGAAGGTATCATGTGAGCTGACGTTACTTAGACAATGCTAGATTGTTAGCAAAAAACAGTTCAGAAAGTTGCTTCAGTTTCTAGAAGGGTGGTTTTTGTCAGTTGCAAAGTCCTAGAACAGTCCAATGCACTGTTTTGAGGATGATTTTCTGTTTTAGTCTGAAGAAGATTTTCTTGAAAGGAGGAGAGAAGTAGAAAGACTCTTGAAGAAAAATTCAGATTGGATATGGGATTGGTCCAGCAGGCCTGAGAACATCCCACCAAAGTGAGTGTCCTTAGCAACAAACTGCTTTTACTAGTGCTTTTATTTTCTTAGAGAGAAATATTTATTTATTTAATGTTTGTTCTTCCTCTGCTCCCCCAAACTAGGGAATTCCTCTTTAAACACCCTCGTCGAACTGCCACTCTCAGCATGAGAAACACCAGTGTGATGAAGAAAGGGGGCATATTCTCAGCAGAGTTTTTAAAGGTTTTCCTTCCATCTCTGCTTCTCTCTCACTTGCTTGCTATAGGCCTAGGGTAAGTTTTTAATTTAAAAATTGACCTCTCTGAACAGTGTCATTCTAGCTTCTTAGTCTTAATTTAAACAGCACAGTTCTTTCAACATGGATTACAGTGACCAATCAGTCGGTAACCGATACCCACTAATTTAGAGCTATTTTATTGCAGAAGAAAAAGCAGAATATGACCAAAAATCATCAGCGGCCTGATTTATTTGGTTTCCTATCTGTTTGCTTGTAGCACTGCTGTATAAACCAATTTCCTTATGCTTTTCTCATTCCTAGAAGACCTGCTTAGAAATACATCAGACACTGGAGTTAGGAGTTGTGTATACATGTATGCTACTCTGTTCTGTTTTGAAGGGTGAATTTTCACCTAGAAACCAATTTTAAAGGGGATACAGTGGTGGATTTTATACTGTCTAAGAATCATGTTATCTTATCCAACAATGGGGTTGTTTTTCAGCATTGGGCTGAATCTTCCTCTCTACCACCACTACCTACAAGAGAGAAACTACAAAAAAGAGATTAGCCTTCACTTATTCCAGTCAGGCTGAGGTTTGCCTTTAGGGTCTGTTTCCTAAGCCTGTCAGGGTCAATACAGAGGTCAAGGAGTCTTGTGTGAGAGGCAGGCCCATCCATAATGAGGCTCCATGCACTAGTAAGAACTTCAGCAACTATACAGAAGTAGCTCTGTAAAGGGAAAGATGCAATTCTGGACTATCATGTCTTTCTCTGCAGGGCTAATAGGGAAGACCAGTTTGCATTTCCCAGCAGTCCCTCTTATCTTCCTCCCACAGCCCAGTTCGAAGGGGCAGAGAAGTGAGTGCCATATATTTTGGGGAGAGAGTATTTTAAATAACTCAGCAAAGTAAAACTTGTTTCTTGCACAAGGTGACAGGCCTTCATCTCATCTCATGCCACTAAATTAGCAAGGAAATTAAATGAGCTGCCCCCCCTGTAAAACTGTTGAACATGGCATCACAGCTAGACTCAGTAACTTAAGTATGCCAGTGCTACTGATACTATTCTACGAATTCTTTCCCTGACAATATTTCCCTTCCCTCCCTCAGTTTAGGCATGCAACACAGTGGTTATGGCACAATTGAACCGCTTGTCCCTTAATTTCAAAGGGACACAGGCTTCTGGAGCTCTGTGGGTACAATTAGCCATCCTGTCCAAATCCTAGATCTCATTCATTACTTTATTCCTAATCTTAAATATATGTTGAAAGTTAACATAAAATTAGTCCACAGAGTTGACTGTATAAATTGAAATAAAGCATGGCTGTGTTAACTGCATGAGACTTGATAGGAAAAATCTAGTACATGTCTTTTACAAAAAGAGAGGGGAATCCTAACACTGCCCATGCTTCTTACATGGTTTTTCAGCATTGCTGTGACCTTGGAACTTTCTAGCCAAATGAAGGACAGACTACTAAAAAAAAAAAAAGAAAGAAAAAAAAAATCACATCTTGCAGCTTCTTTATAAAATGCTAAGTTCAACGGAGGTCAAAATGGTAGTCTCTCCAAGTGGTCATTTCTTTAGAATGAGAAAGGCAAACAAATATAAGAAAGATAATCTGGAACAACAGTGAAAACGTACTTTGAAAAATGAATTATCAAATGTTAAAAGGTGTCTCGGATAGACATTATCAATGAGATGTTTAGAAGCAAATGAGAAAATGTGGATAACAACTCTGGGGGAGGGAAAATGTATTTTAATAACCAACTTTATATAGCTTCAGAAGCTCTTTCTGATCTTTGTCTCACTTCTCTCTGACTTTTCCACTATTGAAATTGAATGGGTTTGGCTGGCACTGAAGAACTATTTATTCTGCATCTTAAAATCAGGGGTTCATTACAGGACAAAGCTATGCAAAGACATAAACAACTGAAATCTGGGGTTTTAAGTGTAAACTGTTTTGCAGTCTTAATTCTAGCAGGTACTATTGCTCCCACCATAAATTACATAACTGATACCTCATGAGGAAAATATTATTCTTGACATACTATACATTTTTTAAAAAATGAAATGCAACACTCACTGACAAATATTTTCTACTCAAGGATTTACATTGGAAGACGGTTGACAACCACAACTTCAACCAGCACATTTTAAAAGGATGGTGAAATTCGGTCTCAAAGCAGCAGGGATACCCATCTAGGAATACAAAACAGTGAATCACAGAAACTTCTGAATTTGTAAAGGTTACATGACCTGTGTGCATTTGTTTTGTAAAATGTTGTGTTCCTAGTTTAGTTGTAGAGTGGGAGAAGAGACACTGAAACCAAGTTGTTATAAATAGATTTTTGGATCAATTCATTAAGCATGCTTCAGACTGATTAACATCTACTGTAATGTAGAAGGAGGCATTGTTGAAAATTGAAGCACTCAGTGTTAAGAACCTTAGCTTTTATATATAGTACTGACTGTGATGTAGCTAATCATCCATCCAAAGTACTGTTTCTTTATACTCTGTAAAAAGTAAATATTGCCATTATTCAAGTAATCATGACAATCAGGGGTTAGTCCAAAAGCTGTGGCATTACATACAGTATTTTGGAGAATGTTGTTGCTTCATTTGAGGGGACACATCATTTACTTAACATGTCATTTGTCTATTTTACACAAAACAGACACGAAATGTTAAGATGCGTTAGACGCTCAGCTTCTGTAAATTTTTTAAAGTTTAAATTTTAAAGTAAATTTTAAATTGTGAAGTTTACAGTCTGGTCCACAACAAGTCTGAATTAAAATTTAGGTCCTCGTGCCTAATGAATCATTTCCTTTTTCAGTTGCTGTTCTTATTTTCAAATTAATTAAAATTCCTGTTGCTGTGTCTTCTTGCAGAATACAACTTTTTTTATTTTCAATTTGTGAAAAAGAGGGAAATGATCTATTTCCCTTTTCAGCTGGTTTTGTTCCTATATGGATCTAAAGCAGACAGCATGTTTGTTTCTGTGTTTGTTTGTACTTATAGAACCTGTTTTAATTCGGGTGTTTTATCTTCATTTAGTGAAATGGACAAAAACAATCTTTGCCATATTCTTTGGAGGATTTATGTATTTAAATAAAATATTTTCTTGTGGATTCAGAATGGGTTCACCATCTTCTTTTTCCCCAGTGTTGAAAAATAATTTCTGAAAGCTGAATCTTTGATAGTGTCAAGGTTATTTTTATGGTATGTGCTGTTCTTTTAAATACTTTGCAGATATTTACATCTAATTAATCAGTATTGAAAGAAAAAAAAAAGTAAAATTTATAATCATAGAAAGTAAAGGTTGGAAGGGACCTCAGGAGGTCATCTAGTCCAACCTCCATAATGTAGAATGAACACACGCTGTCTGAACCAGCACAATACACGTGGCTTTCATCTGTTTGCAGTATCATCATTTAAAAATAAATTTGTTTTTTACTTTGGTTTTATCATTTTGGGGGGAAGTCAGGACTTTTTTTGTACTTGGAATGGAACTGAAATTAATATGGCTTTTTGTAATGCCTCCATTCATGAATTAACAGTGAGCACCCTATAATATAATAGTGTTCATGCTGTACCCTTGATGGGGTATCACATCTAGGGGAATAGTCTACTGCTGCAAAGGAAAACAGTGATATTAAACCCCTGGGACAAATACTGCAGTTACACACATGCTTAACCTTCCTTATGAGTAGTCTGGTTGAGGTCATTGGAACTCATCAACTGTATGAAGTCAAGCACGTGCAGTACTAGGAGAATGAGGGCCTAATGTTGTACTGCATTTCTTTACATTTTATTAATCTTCTCAACAGGAGATTCATCAGATTTCTTTGGCTTCTAAATAGCCTTTCCCATCAAAAAGTAAATTGTTGAAAATAGATGCAACTGAGAACCTAAAACCTGACACAATTTCATTAATTATTAAAACCCCAGTTGAGGTTTTTGAAAGGGAGTGCCAGTACCCCTAAGGTAATTCCAAAGCCTAAGTTAGGATAGAATTAAACCACTTCTTTTTATTACCCTGACCCTAACTTACTGAGGATACTTTGAAATTTGAATAGCTATCAGATAAATGTCCCCAAGAAGCCCCCCCCCACCCCTCAAATAAAACAATCAGTGCACTTTTGTGTAATAATTTAGCACCAATTATTTTGGGTGCTTTTAAAGGAGGTGTAAGCCAATTAGTCTCTTATTTTTGGTAGACAGCAGCAAATAAACCTATATCTTGCAACGGTACTTTTTCTCGTAGCCCCAGTCAGCTTGCATGAATGTGTGTACATATTGCATTTTATGTAGCTAGTGTTCTTTAAAACCACTTTTCCAGTGGTGTTAGATTAACAGTTCTTGATTTGCTTTAATGTTAAAGAATGTAGTGCATTAAAGTTCTTTGTATTTAAATAGATTCTGACCTAATTAGAGTGGTATTTTTAAAAAGTTTAACAGGTGTTGTTGAATGCATTTTCTGGTACCACTGAGGTAACATTCAGTTAAATACCGTTATTATGTATTGATTGTATGAAAGCACCAACCATTAATAAAAAGTGAGGCAATATATTTTGCTTCATTCTCTTATTTCATAACAGCAGCAAAGAAAACCCTCCTACAGAAGAACATATTGATGTGGTAGTGTGCTGCTTGTGAATGGAAAATGTCAGTCTGTAAAGAGTCTTACAGTACAATAAGTGTGGTTGAAAATCTTTTTAGCCCAACTATGTTGCTGAACTGAATTCAGGCTCTGGCAACCCAAGGCAGTGTTGGGTTCTGTGCCACAGGGGTGCTTGCGACTAAAAGGAACAAAAAGTAATTGGTACACACATGGCACCACCAGTTTTTGCTTTTTTTGTTGCTTCATTTCCACATCCTTTTTACTCCTAGATTAAGAGCAGTTTCAGGGGTAAACTATATTTTCTGATTCATTAAGATCAGTGGTTCTCAGGATTTTTAGCACTCTTCCATAATTTCTTTATTTACTGGTTAAGAACTGCTGTTGAACGGTCTGAGCTTACCTTCCATGTCAGATAGCCTAATGCAGGCAGGGGCACCCCCTTGCCTGGAAGACCCAAGAATCAGGGGCTTGGCTCTGCATCCCCCAAACTCCTGGCAGGGAGAAGGGTCAGGATGGGGAGCTAAGCCCTGCACTCTGGAACCATGTTATGGGTCAGGTTGGCTTTGAGCTGTCTGACCTATGCTTCGTCAGGGTGTGGGGGGAATGCCCACTCTCTCAGGCATGCTGCTGTATTCCACTAGGCTGCCTCCTGAAACTGGAAAGAGTGCAGCCAGCTCTGCACGCTGGGCATACAGGACAAACTCCAGGACATCTGGCACATCCCTGAAGTATTTCTAGTGTCCTGTGGATGGGTTTCACCTGCAATTTCAGAGCACTTGGCTGCCCTGGGAGTTGGTTATAGGCTTGCAGGACCTATTAGCTCTGGTAGGGAATTCGTATTAAGTAAACACTTTGTGAGGGAGCCTAGATATGATGGATAAAGGAAAGTTGACAGATACTCTACAATCACTCAGATTCTAGTGGGGTTGCTGGCAACATTACTCAGGAGTGTGCACATGTGGGACAGAGAGCTCGATTCAAAGTGATATTTGTCAGGTTTGTTTTGTTTTTTTTAGCATTTTCAGGATTAGTGAGCTTGTGGCACAGGCAGCAGGGGACAGCTGCAGGCACGTAGGAGGAGTGGATATGTAGTTTGTTCTAATGAATGTCACTGAACCAGGTATTTAGAAACTGACTACACAGGAAAAGGGGCCATGACTGAGTTAAGGGGACATGCAGGTAAACAATTATGTCCCAAGAATGGTGTGTAAGCGTTCCTCGGTATATAGGATTAGGAACTGGGCCCAAACATGTGCATGAGGTGCAGATACTCAACCAAATATAATTTTGTGGCAGGTAGAGGGGAAGAAATTAGCCTACTCAAGTATACTGGAAATTTTGGCTTGCATTCCTTTAAGATTGGAGCAGTGACACCACCTAATTCTCAAAAGGTCCAGGCAGCTAGGTGCTAAAGATCAGATTGCATTTATGAGCAGCCACTGGAGCTTGCCAGGGTACCAAAGACTTTTATGACTATAGAAGCTATCAGGAGATATAGGTCAGTGTCTGCATTTGCAGGGACTCTCATGCATTGCACCTACCACCAGGAAGCTGATGAGACAGTAGGTGAAAATGACCTTCAAGACTGAAGAGTCCATTTGTGATTGTACAGAAGCAGTGGTGGGAAAGCAGCCCTTAGTGATAGCACAGCTACAGGCATCTGATGACCTGGTTATTTGCCTTCATGAAAAAGATACCAGAGCTTGTGCTAGCTTAAACTGAAGATTTAAGAGCATCTTTACATGTGCTTGTGGGCGGGGAGGGGGATGTGTTTTAATTAGAGTGGCTCTTGGGCTCCCAAGAACTGCTCTAATTAGAACAGCCCCAGCATCTTGTGTATTCAGCATCCCGCCCTTCAAAATGGCGGTGGGGGCACCTCAATTAAAACTCATTCAACAAACTTTAGCTAAAGCGCCCCACCGCTATTTTGAAATGCAGGGACGCTGAATACATACGACGCTGAGGCTGCTGGAGCACTCTAATTGGAGTCTTCCAGCAGACATGATTAATCAAGTCTGTTCCGACGTGTTCCAAGTAGAATGCATCTGAGCCGGCATCGGGTTCCTGTGTAAATTCCTTAAGAGACTGTAATACTGATTTAATCTCCACAGCTCCAGTTCCAAACACAATTTCCCAGTGTACAGACTAGTCAGGGAAGGGAAGGCATGCAAAATTATTACAATAGGAATACGTTTAAACCAGAAATATATAACAAAACCATAGTCCGGTCCAGCCACACCCTTCCAAAGATATTTGTTCAGAACAAAATGTTGGGAAGCGTATTCCAGTAGCTGTAGAAGAACTACTCACCTTGTACAGAAGTTTCCAGACGTATTAATTTTCCTCACAAGATCACATCCGTGCTGTTATGTGTTGGTCATGCAGGTCTGGACGCAGGAAGTATCTGTGATTTAAGAGATCTGGCATTTTTTGTAGATGCAATGTAGTGTCTCTGGCTATTCGAAGTGCCATCTGGGCCACTGGGGGCCTGGAAGGGAACTTCATTTCTCCCCTCTCCTCTTCCTTGCATCCTTAATATAAACCTTGAAAAACAGATAATTGTCTTTTCCTGGGATAGCCACAGAGGAGCTCTGATCTCTAGGTCACTTCAGTAAAGCACTTAAGCTTCACTTATAAACAAACCTCTAACAGCAAATAGACTTTCCTGTGAGCACTACTACTGTCGACGGTTTAGTTTATTGCAGTTTTTCTAAGTAAGTGGTACTGGTTCTTGTCGCAACCTGTAGTCAATGGATCATTGGTCTGACTCTTTTTTATATTGTTGCCTAGTTTATCCCAAGCAGTTAGCCGATATTCAAGGCTTTGGCAGTTATGAAGAGAACTGATTATACAACTCGGGTATTCCTTTGGTACAACTGCATTCATTTACAAGGACTGTTCAGAGCTGTTTCCCAAAAGCCATTAGGAGGCAGCATTTTTCTTGCTCAGTGCCCAAGCTTCTCTTTCTAGTCAGTCCTGAGCCCTGCCTGAAGAGCTCTCTCCCTTCCCTTTCAGGATATGTCACATCTGCTTTTCTGATGACTTCCAGGTGCAACACTACAAGGCAACTAATGCCCCAAACCCTGTATTTGCAATCAGTTCATAAGCACGACCCTTGCTACTCAGGCCTTACACATGGGGGATGGCCTTGGCTGATGGTTCTCTTTTTTCCCCCCCTCATATCTTGTCTATCTTATCCTTTGTCTACAGCTACATTCATTACCCCTTCCTCCCTCCACCTGTCTCTCATCTACTGACCACCTCAATTTACATTTTAACTGACTGGGTTTCTTGCATTCATACTGGCTTCTGGCTGCTTTCCTACTCCGTCCAGGAAGAGCACAGACCATCTGCAGATGCTTCCCCTGCCTGATAAAGGGTTTAGGCCCGAAAGCTTGCCAAGAATAATTTTTCCAACTATTTGAGTCAGTTAATAAAAGATATTGCATTTACCCAAACAGCTGTGTTTGCCTATGTCCTTAGACCAATGCCGCTACAACCAACACTCTGAAACTGCCCCTTAGGCATTTGGAGGCTGGATAGTAAGCCCTGTGACTACCTGTGACTAAAAGCAATGCATGCGGACAGCTACTTCATCTTCCAGAAAAAAAATGTTTTGATTAAACATACCACTGATAGGACTGTTGAAGAGACCTAAGCAGATGTAGATGCTGAGATTCTGCAACTTCGTCTTCCAGGTATACTCCGACTTTCTTTACTAGCTTTCATTGTGTGTATATGAGGACATAATAAAGTGGTTCTCAAACTTTTTAGACTCAAATCACCCCTTGGAAAATTCCCTGAGTTTTCACTCATTTCTTGGAAAAATATTTAGAGAAATTTTTCTGTTGCAAAGAATTCAAAGACCACAACAGGTCTTAATGTTTTTGATGCTATGTGAAATCCTATTTGAAGTCTCTGGGTTTATCTTGTGAATCATATATAGGTGGTTGCACATCAACATGAATATTGTGCAGTATCCCAGAGCACCCTTAAAGGGATCTCGCAGTTACCCTGGGGTGTTGCAGGATCCTGCTGGAGAATCATTTGTCTAGCATAAAAATAGGGTGAGTTTTTGGCCGGTAAGTACAAATGAACTGACAATGGTCATTTAGATGGGATCCAGGAATATCACCCAATATTGCATCATGTCATACCTGGAAGTGGTTCAACTTCTCAGAAATTTCTGAAGGCACGTTTTGAGAAACCAAACTTCGGCTCTGACCCTCATGTCAACAGCCATGGAAATAACAGGCTATGGATTACCACAGTAAGGAAAGTTGATTTGAGAGTAGGTCTTTGCAAATCATATCTGTAAATATGGTAGGCCAAATAAAATGTATTTGACACCTGGATAACTCTGCAAAGATTTTAGATTTTTAACAACTGGTAGGAGAGAGTATTTTCTCACAGCTGGCCAGTTACAAATTGATCCATTTCTGTTGAGAAGGAATTGTTTGGCTACAGTTAACTCTGAAATTCTGTGGCATGTTCTCAGTCTGAGTGAAGGCTTTACAGTGTCTTTCAATGGAGGAGCTAATCCTGCAATGACTTCTTTACGTCTTGGACTAAGGGAAACCAAATTACTGTTCCAAAGAATTCAGAAAGACCACAGGTCATTAGTTTTTGACACTGTAATCTTGTCTGAAATCACTGGGTTTTTCTTGTGCTAGTAATATGGGTGCTGTGGCATTCTGTTTGAGAACCACTCTCTTATAACCAAAGACAGTACAAATCCTTGAGTCTAGGGCCAGCTGCTAGATGGCCTCAGAAGCTTGAAAGATTGCTTGCTTGTTCTCCTTGCTTGGCTGATAGCTATATAACCACTACAGGAGAAACCAAATGCTAAGGCTTTATGCAGCAAAATAGGAATCATGAATATGGAAGGAGGATCTCTTGCTCACCTCCCTCTAATCCCTAGATGCAGGGGGAATGGAGTCCTTACTTGTCTCAGTTCAAGTAAGACCACTCCTTAACTTTCTGCGCAAAAGCTAGCTTTTAGAGTAGAAAAGATGTCTTTTCCTCATCAGCAAAGGTTTCTGGGCTGAAAATTTGACAGGCACAATTTCTATTACACTGCAGCCCAAGACAGTTTCACACAGCATGGTAATAGCCTCTGGAAGAAAAGTCCCTAGTATATTTTTAAGGTGAGACGGTAATTAAGAAAATGGTTTTTTACATTTTTTACTTGCCCTTTGCAATACAAATTGTTGCATTACCATGTTTGCTTCCGCATTTTGAGTAACTGGAGCCTCTGGACTTTACAAACCTTGGTTCTTGAATAGATTGTGAAGAGTTCTCTGCTACTGGTTTTGCTGCTTGTAGGAGCCACATGTTTCAGGGACAAGGCAGTGGCCTAGACAATATCCAAAGCAGTTCTCCATGTCCATGAAAAACAAAGGTCTGTGGCTTGTGAAGTAACTGTTTCTCGGGCTCCTGAAAAATCACCTGCAATGTCTTTTGGACTTGAGTTCACATTTACAAGATTCCTCTCTATTGCTATATTGAGAGGATAAAGACCAAACTGTTCAAGAGGAGCATACAATTGAGAAGCCAGAAGGTTGCAGCCTTAATACTCTGAAAACTCTTAGCTTTAAGAGAGGGGGAAGGGACCTAGAAAGTTAACCAATACTAATACACTTAAAATGACAAAACAAAATCATCATTAAAAAATCGACTCGCCAATCATTTCACTGCTAGAAGGGAAAAAAGCTGGGTGGTCTTCATAAAAGGCTGCATACTATAGTTCCCAACAACCATAGTGGACTGCTTCCTAAATTTGCAAGCAAGAGGTATGATTCATTTGGGATGAATGAGCAAAGAGTCTGTGAAGGGAAAATGTGTTTTCACACTTTTCTCATTTTCACAGGAATGCTAGAGACGCACGTTAATGTTCTAGTACATTTCATCTGCAGCACATCAGTATGAATTACAGCTATCTTAACTGGAAGTCACAGGAAAAAATACACAAAATAGTATTATGTATACCTTGTATTTTATATAGTACTTAAACCAAACGATTAGGTTTGAGAATTTCATAAACTATACCTGAAAAAAAAACATTGAGCACATTAGGCCCTCTGTAAAACTTTTCATGTTACTAACCTAAACACTAAACATTGCTAGATCAATCAGCATGTCATTTCATTTTGCCAAGTTTAAAGCAGGTCTCCCCACTCCCTCCAAATCTCCCCCATTCCTACCTTCAAGTGCCCTATCAATGGAAAGCACCAGTACCGCCAGTCTTACAATTCACTCATCTGCATATAACCAAATTTTAGAATTCTAAAATAGCACACTGAACAAACAATACTTCAATTTATTTTGAGAAATTACATTCTAATCTACAAGCAAGTAAAGTGCTTCCCATTAAACACGTACTCAGTTTCACAGGAAATACAGAAGTAGATATAGAAATCTGTTAGTGCCTAGCTCCATAGCTTTATCTTCTACTGTTAACTTATCTACCAATAGGCAGCTAGATTGTTTCCAACAGTGAGCCGGAACCCATTCAGAATTGTTAATTGATTTAACTGGTCTCTCAATGATCTCATTTGTGTGTAAACATCTGAAAATTTGAGTGAGAATTCCATCCACCAGAAAAAAATTACCGGAAAGACTGGTTAAGTGAGGTACACAGTGAAAGATTTTCAGGAACCGTTATTAGCTGTTTAGCTGCAAAATCATGCAAGTAAATGTACCTAGTTTTTATTAAATAACTAGCTATCCAATCTCATTAAAATCCTTTAAATTTCCATCCATTTTTCACCTATGGTTACCTAGGCCGTCTAACAGTGATGACTGCTACCACTTTAGGAAACTATGATGGCACCAACATTATATAGGCTCTCCCTAGCAGAAGCTCAATAGGAAACCTGGAATCACACCATGGCTTTTGCTATCAGTGCAACGTTGGCTACAATATGAAATCTTTTCAGATTCCTAAAGTATATATAGCTCTGCCAGCAGATTTTTGTAACTTAAGCCAAGGGGTTGGACTTTACCAGTCCTAATTATAATAGGTCTACAATAAACAAGACATGGTGAGATGGATTTCTGAATTATGGGTCTGAATTTCTAAACATTTAAACATATTTTACTTTGCTCATTGGAAAATAAATTGGTCTACCCAATGCTGCAAAAATGCAGTATTTGGGCTGTTAGATATCTATATTAATTTACTATACTTATTTGAAAACGGGAAATAACCAAATGAATGCAGCAAAAAACTGATATGGCATCTATGTGGAATCATTGGGGAATCTGGGTGGCATTTTAATTTCAAAAGATAAAAATAAGGAAGGTGTCAGACTACACAGAGCAAGTTCAAGTAAACATTTAAAATTTATTAAACTTTTTGGTCAAAATAATTGAACAAGTATATACAATCCCATTGTATTAGCTCTATTATGTATTTTAGGAACAAAGGTCAAATATAATGCTTAAATGACCTAGAAGTTCCACATTTCAAGATCTGCAAATAGTGTCACAACCAATATACAGTATAAGATTTTTTTTATTTAAACTTTATTTGTAGAACCCCAAAGTTAGTTGTATTTACTAGCTTATTATGAACAAGAGTGGCACTCTATGGACATTAATTGAGAGGGTAGGAACAGTGACATTTCTCTTGCATATCCATATCTGATTTAGTAATCATAATGCACCTTCATTTTAATAAAACGGAGTGTAAACCACACTTCTGTATTTCATGAGGGAAATTCAAGGGTCTAATTAACTAAAAAGACCTTATTTTGCATTCCTTGCATATCTTGGTACTCAATTCCATTAAAATATGCCATCATTTCTTCTGGCACATTTTACACCCGCATTTAGTTGGGGTAAAGAGAACACTGGATGAGTTTATGCCCTTTTGGAAAAAAATACCCAAAGCTTAAAAATTATTTTTTAACCCTGATGTCCACAGGAACAGAGATGCTATGACACATGCATTTTGCATCAGTTCATAGTTTCACTATATCCTGATCACCTGGTGTCAAGTGACAGAGTATGTTAAAACTTTAGTTGTGCTGCTGCTTGGTATAATCAAGTCAGTTTTATTTGCTGGTTTGAATTGCAATGTGAAATTCTAAATATATTTAATTATGCCAAATTTACTATTTAAAGTAAAAGTGTATTTTTCCAAAACAAGTCACTAAAAATATAAAAAAAGTAATGCACATAAGGTACGTCTCTGTGTCAAACATCTGAGAGGCATTAGTTAAAAATAGATTTTATATTGTCAAAGCAGAAATTTTATTCAATGTTTTATTGTATATTCCCTTCTGTGCAAAGTAGTTTCTCTCTTTTAGGCTGCAGAAGTTTTTATACCAACCTTCTCAAATCCCCTAGTTTGTGTATACAGATGTAACTTTACAGAAATCCAACACAACTTAATGACAATTTTGTGGAAACTAAATTTAGAATTTGAAATATTTCATACTACACAAAACAGTTTATACCAGGCTGTCAAAAAAATCCAAGTTTTGGGACAAACATTGTCAAATTCCCCATTAGAATTATTTTGCACAATCTCAATACATGCAATAAAAAAATAAAAGACTGAATACATACTTTCAGATTTAAAAACACTTTTTATAGTTTGTTATTTTTATTAAGTGGTTTACACCAGAAGGTGTGGTTATAGATACAGTTGGTGAGTAAATATTCATGGAACCTGTCTACGAACCCAACTCAAGACCTACCTAAGTGCTCAAAGGTAAAAACACCTAAGCCTAGATAAAGGCCAGAGGAGGAATGTTTACAGGCATAAAGCACAATATATGTTTTCAAAGGCCCAAATATTACAGCAGAGAAAGAGCGAGAGAGATAGAAATTACATTTATGACAATTTTTCCTCTTGGGTGTTAAATTTTTGGTCTATAAACTGGAAAGGAAGGCTCAGACTTAAATAAATACATTTGTTTTGAGTATTGGCCTTTATTGAGCACTGTCCATCAATTCTGCTTCAAGAGGGCTTTTTCTTTTAGAAAACTGCAATTTGCATTCCACTCCCCAACCCTCCAGTGAAGGCAGAACTACACCACAAACTCAAAACCAGGCCAGCTTTTCTCCTTTATCTATAAAGGGAAGTAAGTGCATCAATGTTCTTTACTGGTAGGACAACAAGGCCTTCTCTTTTACAGATAAACAACTGAGCTTAACTATGCAAGACGACGACTTTGTCCTCAATTAAGTCATCTTTTTAGTTAATTTTGTCCTGGAATATATACAAGTTATTGGTGGCAGCTACAGCAATGATGTTTTCTGTGGGGTGCCATGCTGTATGAAGGATCTTCTTGTTGAAGTCCAGACTGTCAACACTTATCTCGTCTTTCTTTCTCTTACCACCTGTACACACTTTGCGTGGTTTTAGGATGGCACGAGGTTTGCTACTCTCCCTTGATGCTTCTAAAGTAATATCCCGCCGTGTGTTTCGGTCAAACATTCGGAAGAAATTGTTGTAGGATCCAGTCATGATAGCACTGTTTAAAACAAGAAGAAAAGGGGAAAGGTTTTATTTTGTTATCATGCAACCAGACATGACATGCTCCT